ACACCAAAGAGAGACAGACAGAGAGACATTTACACACACAAACACATACATCATAATTTTTTTTTTAAACTTCTCTGGAAAAGTGAGACTGGTCAACAAAAATACTTTTAAAATAGACTTTGAGCTGGACGTAGTGGTGCATGCCTGTAATTCCAGCACTCTGGGAGGCAGAGGCAGGCAGATCTCTGTGAGTTCAAGGCCAGCCTGGTCTACAAAGTGAGTCCAGGACAGCCAAGGCCAAGAGAAACCTTGTCTCAAAAATCAAAACAGCCAAGAGAAGCCAAGCAGAATAAAACAAACAAAAACAACAAAATGGACTTTGTATTCAAAACTCTAATGTTCCCAACAGGTTTTAGTATCAAATGAAATAATTGAAGAATCCATTTGCAATAATCAATTTAAACACCATCAGCTTGACGATAATTTAGCAGATCTTTCATTTGGAAGGGGCGGCTTTCTTTGGACAACAGGACTTCAGTAAGTCCACAGCTGGAGACTGTAAAGCAGCGATCATCTTGATTTAATGCTGCTTTAAGTTTATAAAAAAAAGTCCCTGTGTAAACAACAGACATTTTGATTAAACACCAAAGTTCTTATTTTGGCTGTTAAATCAATAATGCAGCTGGCCTCGGAGGAGTTTACATTCTCAAACCTGGGCTTCAGTTCAGCCGGGTCTGCGCTGACATCATTTTCCAGCAGGTCCAGCCACTCTCAGCAGCCAGGTTAGAAGTGCTCGGCCCCATCCCTGATGCTGAGCCTTCACACATTCATCCAGAGGGTCTCACAAACGCCAGAGCTCAAAATAGCACAGGCGGTCCAGAAATAGCATCTCAACAAATGGGGAATTTCCGAGTACAGACTTGTAGGGTAACTGCTCATGCTGTAAGACAAAGGCCTTGGGTGGTGTTTTGGGTTTTTTTGTTCTGTTGTTTGTTTGTTTACCTGAAACTGACATAGGGTTTCCTCTTGTCTCTTTCTGTGATGGATTACCTAATGTGAAACTCCAAGGCAAGGAATTAGTTCTCCTAAGTAGAATACTGATACACTGCCAATGAGACCTCAGATTTAGGAGTATGTTACAAAAACAATAATCAAACCATATTATATATTAAAAGCAGAAGACAATACCCTTAGAATACGTAATTCTTTCTTAAAGGCAATTAAGCAGATTATAATAGGCCTATGTACTTCAGGAGAATAGTAATTGAAGGCTTGCTTAATCAGAGTTAACAGCTAGAGACTGTGAAAACATACGACGGAAAATGTGGGGATATACGGAGGGCCGTCCAATCACTAGATTTTATGTGAGAATGTTCACTAGGGTTCCTCTTCATTAGCAAGACACTCTTATCCAGCTGGCTAAATAGAAGCATTTGAAAGCTCAAATTGAACAACAGACACTGAGAGCCTTCGCTCTCAGGAGCTTAAACTTCTCACCTGCAAAAACTCCCTGACATTAGATCCCAGGACACGCAAGATGGTATCATAGCCAGACTCTTGACAAAAGACGAAAAACATCTTCCCAAACATCTGCAGGATTTCGCCAGCATTGAGGTCTGATTTGTAGAAAGAGGAAAGAACAAGAGGCAGGATTGTCAATGAGAAGAATAAACACAAGTGTATATGAAAATGGTTTAAGTTACTCATGGTTTTTTACAGTGGGAGAATAGACCAAGCATCTCTGATGGGTGGATTACAATGAAATCAGAGGACCATGTGCAAACATGTTGATGGTGTAATCCACACTATTAACAATGTAACCATTTTCTCAAATTATATAGTAACACACTTAAATTTAATAGTTTATGATGATATATTTAGTGTATTGTTTCTTTTGAAAAGCCATTTACTCAAAGGCACAGGGTCAGCAAAATGGCTCTGCCAAGCTTAGTGACCAGAACTTGATACCCAAGTCTCACACAGTGGAAGGAAAGAACTAACCCCCACAAGTTCTCCACAAGCGCTATGGAACATAAACCTCTGTATAACACACACACAAACTGTAAATAAAGGTCATAATATACTCTGCTGCAAAATAACTTTTCTTTATATAAACACAAATGTTTAACTACTTCTTGAACATAGTATGAATCTTAATGTATTGCATTTTTCTTAATAAGTAATCATTAATATTTCCTAAAGTTTAAGTGTATACCTCTTCTGTATTAATTTTGACTCATATCTTATTCAACATATGAGTGTAATAATTTATTCAACAAACCTTCTCCTATTGAAAATACAAACCTTTCATTTTTGATAATATAAACAATTCTAGGGGAACCACTTACACATAAATCTTAGTAAGACATAGATCTCATACGTCTTCAGTGAAAACTCCTTAACAGTGTGAGGAAGCTGGACAGATGGAGTCTTTGGCAAAGGGCCTGTCTCACACAATAACCGGCGCCGGGATCCCAGCCCCCACGTGCAGTGCAGCCAGATGCAGTGGTAAGCTTTTCCACTCTGGCACTGGCAGCTTGGAGACAGGTGGATCACTAGATCTCGAACGCCAACCAGCCACCTAGCGAAATCATGAGTTCTGGGTTCAATGAGAGACCGTACCTCAAAAAGTAAGGTGAAGCAAGTGACCAAGCTGCAAAGTTGTGGAGCCTAGTCCAAACTGAAGTATCTACAACACGAGTACTCTGGCTAAGGCTTGGGGATCATCTCAGCAGAGGAACCAGAATGACTGTAGGATCCAGAGGACTTGGTAGTTTTCAGTGAGAGTGCGTCTCCTACGTAAGTCAGAAACTACATCCATGAAGTTTAAAATGCTGACTTTCAAATGTAAAAAACTGAAATATCTGTTCTAGTCAAGAGTAGCGCTAGAAAAGAATTAACATACATTTTCAATCTAAAGCTAAATCAAGGCAACTTCGATGGATGATTTCATATTATCAAAGTCACGTTGATGATATAAAAGTATGGCTCCCCTTCGTGGCTGCCTAAACAGAACAGGAGCAGCGCAAGGCTGACACCAGTACACATGCTAATGGCATGGGTCTGGGACACTCTCGAGGGTTCAACTCTAAATAACTGCAGGCAACTAAGAAACACCGAGAGCAGAAGAGACAGTCTTTCCCTGAAACAAGCACACGTTATTGAATAACATGATAATAACAGGATGTTGAATAACAGATGATCACATGAAAACATGGACATACACGTAACATTATATGGACTGAGTAGGTTGTGGTCAAGTATTTAATACACAAAACACATATAAAGCAATACTAAACAAAAAAGAGGCCACGGATTTAAAGAAGAATGTGTGTGGTATATGGGAGGGCTTAGAGGGCGGAAAAGCAACAGAAATGATGTATAATCTCAAAAACTTTCAAAAAATATTTTCTAAAAATAAGAATGATTGGTAAAAACACCTGGCACCAACTTCTGTCATCTAAATGCACACACACACACACACACACTCACACACACACAACTCTGTACATCCACAGCCAATCATATATACCTTAAACGCAAAAATATATTTAAAATATACTGATAGAGCTTGAACATACGTTAAGTGACTCTGATCATATGAAACCATCCTTCAAAGTTGCCTTAATTTATCACTAACTTGAAGATGTGTTATTTCTTCTTTAGCTCTACTCTTGACCTGAACAATGTCTCAGTTGTATACATTTGAAAATTGGTATTTTAAAAGTTCACTCCATACTTTCCTTCATAACTGCTGTGTGTTTTTATTTTCATTAATCTACTAGTTTTGTTTCTAATTCATGAATCCTGCCAAACAGAGCTCAGATTTCATGCTCTTCTATGCAGCCCAGGTATGCATGAGCCCTCTGGAACAGTAATACTCCGAATAACCTCACTCCATGACAGCTGCTTGAATTACGCTTTCTTTTCACCCATGGCCCTTATCTGTGAATTTCATTTGTCAGTGAATCTCCTCTCTCTTTTTGCCAGTGTTTCACATAGCTAATTATTATTTGACACGTTTGAGAATAATGTTTTCTGCACACTAGATTTGAATGGTCACTCTATGGCTGGTGCTGGAACTGATGTTTTTATGGCTGAAATATTGGTAGTTGCTTTTCTTCTCCATATGGGGCCTTGCACAGGGAAGGGAGCATTTCCACTTTCCATTTTCTGTTTGCTAAACAGCTTATACTGGAAGGGTAGGCTTCAGCACAGCCCAGGCTAGCATCATCCAAACATGTTGCCCCCATGCAATTGCTCAGTGAACAGCTTGGGTAATGGTAAACCGTTGTCTTTTAGTGCACATTCCTTTATGGACCTCTGTGTGGTTAATCCAGAACAAGAAAGATTGTTCAACCTACTGAGGACTTTGCTTGCAGCAGCCACCAAGTCATAGGTTTTGGAATCATCATATATAATTCTGACAAGAAATTGACCTTCTTCATCCAGCTGGGCCTCTTTCCTGAAAAGAAAATAGAAGAATGGTGGAGAGCAAAGTTAAAGTCAGAGTATTTGCCAAAATCATGACGGTGTGAATAATGGATCTATTTCTGAAACAGGATTTGTGGCGGCAAAATTGCTTAAGTTGATACTGTGTACCTAAAAGCCCAGCTATTTGGGGAGAAACTGCCACATGCCTCTCTCCAAATTAAATCCATACATTCAAGTATGCTTTAGCACTCCCGGGCATAACGCAATGCAAAGAAGTTATGTTTGAATTTGGAAATAGTCAGTAAATATTTATTGATTTCGTATAGGTGTGGGCCTCTGTACTAGGAACTGGAGATTCAGACTTTAGCAAGACAGACTAAAATCCTCTTATCTTGGAACAAAATGCTCTAGGAGAAGAGACATGTTGAGGTGAAAATACAGATCAAGAGAGGAAGCAGGATGTGTGAGCAATGACTTCAATCTAGGTGTCGGTTCAGGTGAATAAAACAGCCTGCTGAAACTGGGCTGAGGGAGGAAACGCCTGAGGGATGACAAGGAGGTTTCTGGCCTGAGCAACTACCACCAGTAGCTGACTGGAAAAGGCTGTCTGCGATCGGCTGGGATAAGATCAAGAGTTATATTTTAAACGCACTAGGTTTGAGACGCTGAGTGGGCTGGTCAAATCTTCTCATATATCTTTCACACACTGAACACAGTAGCTCAAACTAGACACAGTTAGTGCAAGGAAATGTTGGTTATCATTTCTGAACAGTCATCAGGATTCTATAAATACATTTATTTTGATAGGATTTGGATTGCTTTTCTCAAGAGTCCAGGCAGTAGAGGAAGCCATCCTCCAAACGGTCGCCATGTGACATTCGCACACAGCGTGGGGAGCCATCTCTGACTCAGCCCACCCCACTTGAACCCCTGCACCCCTGGACACCGCTGCAGTAGCACCTTCAAAGGGGCCACAGGCATTCCTCCCTCTGGAGCAGTCCAGTCACAGCCATGGCTTTCTCTGTTTATTCAAAGGAGGCCTCCCAGCTGTGTCAAGCCTGCTGCCTGACTTGGAAATATCTGTAGAGACGTCCTATGTTCTTCATAGCATACACTTCATGAATTGGAGCTGAATCCCAGTACCAGGCGAACAGGAGTTCTGGGCTCAGAAGTTATTAGTTGGGTGAAGTTAAGCAAATCATATAGATAGCGTGAGCATGAAAACCTAACTTCTAAAACAGAAAGCAGAATGTAACGCTCCTCCCAGGACTATGCTGACCCAAAGTTAACGACTTTATGTTCTGAACCATCAAGGCAGCACATATTGCTTAAGGCAGAATTTCATATACTTGCATTCTCGACTATTGAGCTACATGTTAAGGGTGGCCTTACACAACCACCAAGTGAAAAGAAGATAGTTCTCCAAAGAGCTCACACCTTTTTAATTCCATACATTGGCACAATATGGAAAGAAAAGAAAGAAAACTAAAAATGCAATAACAAGGTTTCCTTAGCTTGAAATAACTACTGTCGGTACGATATCAAGTTTTTCACACTTGAATAGCAATTCTTTTTAATGTGGCCAATTTCGATGTCATGTTTGCTGGCATCTTTTACGTTCAGCAAATACTCTTGGATACCATGACTGCATAAATTTGCATTGATTAAATACACTGAAGTCTTGGCAGCTAGGTAGAGTGTCTTTATTTTTCTTCTACAAGTATAAATAATAATATTATGATGGATATATCTGTACCTAATTGTATTTTTATATAGAAACAGGATAAATTCCTAGCAATGGAATTGGCTGGTTTGAAGGAGATGATTATGTCAATTTTGTTATTTTCTCATTATATTTTTTATTAGGGACCAAGGCTAATGTCCACATGGGAATTTAGAAACATCTGACCTAAGATATACTAATAAAACATGCATCAATGTTAATCAAGTTTACAATAAAATGTACACAAATTCACCATAGCCACCATGTTCTGCTCTTCCAAATGAATTAAATCAAGTCATATAATTTTTTATAATAAGCTTAGTTTCTATAAAACACCAACCAATCCATAGTAACCATTAAATGAGTCCACAGTGCCCTTGCATAAAATAGAGAAGCAGCTTTTCCCAGAGATGTGAGCTAGCCAGGGCCAAGCACCAACCAGCCCAATACATTCTCTCTGTTTATTGAAACAAGCTCCTTTATCTCCTAATCATACCTTCCTAAAACCATCCTCAGCCAGGCTCCCTGGAGGGGGCTAAAGACAAAGTAAGCAGAGTGCAGATCAGAAAGTGTCTTCTTGTGGAAATGTCATGCTGAATTCCACTGAATTAAGACACTTAGAACTCCTTATTTGCATTCATCTTGGAAGCCTTGAGGAATATCTGGTTGCTTATTTTCTTTTTTTACTCCCTGCCCCAGAAGTTCTTCCACACATATTCGATGCCTTTTATGCTCCAGGCTTTTTTTCAAAGCATTTTGGTATTTCAATAAAGAAAACTACCACAGATATCAGCCCTCCCTAACCTACAATATTGTAACTGGTAGAAATAAGTAATATGTAAAAAATGTTAAATTCCATACTATGTTATTGGATGACAAATAGTTCAAGATAAGAAGGCAAGGTAGACAGAAAAAGAATGAGGAAGAAAGGAAACAGCGAAATTCCACATTCCATATAGTGACATTGGGACCTTCAGAGATGACCGATTGCTTCCATATTCAGGGGAAAGGCTAACTAGAGACTCCCAGACTCCCAGATGAGGCTGGTTAACAGATTAGCCTGCGCAGGAGCAGGCAGGAAGAGGAGGCAGGCAGTACAGCCTGCAGAAGCTGCCAGGGATGCCCAGTCAGTGCTCAGCACCACGACCTTCCTGACCATCTCAGATTGGATCAGGCATTATGCTGCCTCATGCCTTAGCCTCCATGTGGTGCAGTGAGGCGATTAACACCCTCAACCTAGCACTCTTCAAGACAGACTCTTCCAACACTCTCCTGAGGAGCGGTCCATGACAGAACTCCGCCCCAACACACTCTCAGTCATTGCTCTTCCTGACAGACCCACCTTATTACTGGGCAGAAGCTTTAAGGACTCTCCTGATTGCATTTCTGCTAAACATTCTCCCTCTCTCCATAGACTGGAAGATGTTTTTCTCTTCAGTTGTTACCTGACTGAAACCACAGAAGGGACGAGCAAATGTAAGAGAGGAAGCAAGCTGGTAGACAGATTTCAGAAGCGACATGTATAATTTAAGGTCTGGCACTTTGTAGTTCTCCAGCTCTCCGTCGCTGCCCCATAACAGCTGCGCATGTTCTTTAAAACCAATATGGTCTACACATGTCTATATAGCTATTACATATGCCATTTCTAATAACTTAACATTTATTTTTCATATGTAGCATTGTAGCTTGAATGACCCAAATCCAGGTACTGTCACCAGCTTTTCTAAACTCGCTATTTCAGATTCATCTTGAGCATCAGCTCTGCGCAACCTCTGCCTCCTGCCGAGCAACCCTGCCATCCCTGTGTTCTTGGTCTGTAGGTAAAGAGAACCACAGGCATCCTTGGGATTCATAATTTGAAATATTCTCTAGCATTAAGTATTCTGGACAGACATTTATTTATTTATTTTTTAGTTAGTTAATATATCTAGTTTTTGTTCCCCAAAGTGGGGGTTCATCCCATGAACAGCACAAGCTCTTTCGTACAGCACAACATAGCTCTCTCCTGTAGCTGCTGGGAGAGTTGGCACCATCAGCCTTTGTCTTAAACACTTCCCACCTAGTGCATTTGGTAGCTTACAGCAGCTGAAGACAGGGAGGGAGAGGGAATGTACAGAGGAAGAGGCAAGAGAAGGGGCAAGAGGGAGAGCTGTCCAGGGGATGAGCAAGAAGAGCAAGGCAAAGAGAAGGAAGAGGAAATGAGCAGGGGGGAGGCAAGAGGTCTGATCATCAGCTCAGAAGTCCCCATTCAGCAAAAAGAAAGCAAGTGTGCACTTCGCTGATTGGCTAGTAAAAATTATGAATTCTAATAGACAAAGGCAAACTCTCCTCCCTTATATGATGTAAAATAGTAATGAAATTCTCATATGGGGACAAAATGATAGAGACTCGTATTCTGTGTTGACTGCAACAGTAATGTGTTATGGGTGGGTAACATATTTGCCCTAGAGCAATTCATTTCCTGCTCATTCTCACTGATTGATAGTTGTTGGGATGTTAACCCGTCTTTCATATCCACTAATTACTTCTAAAAATAGGTAGTGGGTAGCTTTATCAGAATGGTGTTTTGTAGTTTGACTGAAATAATCGACTGCTGAATATACACATGCACATTTTAAAACAAGGCGACGAACTAACCAAATCTGCTTCTTCAAAAATGCCTATGCGATGTATGCATATATACATACATATATATAACATACATATATACATATATATATATGTATACATATATATACATATATATATATATATGTATATAACAAGCTACTCTGGACAACTTCACAAGTCTTAATAGTTCATATTAAGAATATTAAGAATATTTTACATGACCAAGGAAAAATAATTAGATATATAATGTGTCCAAAATGGCCAAGCATCATTCTCACAACTCTGTTGTGGAGCTACCCCTTGATTTCATGTGTGAACACAAAGAAGACTGACGGCATGCCCTACCCTGAGCTATTGTTACTCTGCACTCGTCCAGCAACTGTACTCCAGGGACAGACAGTCTGTGCCTTTAAGTGAAGAAGCTTCCTGTGCAGGTATGAAAAGGATGCTCTGAAATGGGACAGTCTGAGGTCTGTGGAAATGACGTCGTAAAACAGAGGTGAGCTTCCAGCAAGAAAAGTTCTACACTTTTCAGACATGCGTTTTCACCCAACATCCCGAGAGTCACGGTTCCCGAAGCATGACTGGGGCACACAGACTTGTTCGTTGTAATGAATTCTAGGAATGCCCAGGAGAGAGGGAGGAAAGCATATTAAAACACTGAGCTGTATCTAGTCATTATGGAAATTAAAATGTTC